ACTACCAAGGCATGTTTTTAGTCATCAGTTGTTTGTAATAATCAAAGATCAAAACATAAAACACACACATCAGGTATGTTTTTAGTCATCAGTTGTTTGTAATAATCAAAGATCAAAACATAAAACACACACATCAGGTATGTTTTTAGTCATCAGTTGTTTGGATAGCCTGAGAACATGAATCCTACTACCAAAACACTGAAAGCTGCCATAATCTATTAAATTCTCAAAAACAGAACATTGTTAACTCTTTCTTAAAGAAATATTTTTATTGCCAGGAACAATTGGGAGATTTGATAAAATTATAGTTGATTGACTTATTATGTATTTGATTTAGAAAACCTACAGCCGTTTGATTAAAAAAAACTTTTCAAAGTAAGCCCCCCGTGGCACCTGGAAGTACTTTATGAAGTACACCCTATTAATTTTCCTTGTGATCATATAAGATATATACATAATTTCATATTTATGATTCAAGAAAGTCATCGTATAAAACTAGTTTATGCATTGCACCTTTTAATACAACGAAAAGATTTAACAAGAATGTATATCATACTATTTAACGACCAATTATATAAACACACCTAACATACACTAACTGTAAACACACCTAACATACACTAACTGTAAACACACATTACAAACACTAACTGTAAACATAACTTACATACACTAACTGTAAACACACCTTACAAACACTAATTATAAACACACCTTACAAACACTAACTATAAACACACCTTACAAACACTAACTGTAAACACACCTTACAAACACTAACTATAAACACACCTTACAAACACTAACTGTAAACACACCTTACAAACACTAATTATAAACACACCTAATAACTCTACAAGATTACATGCAACATATTTCCCCAAGTTTTAACTAAGTTGTTCAAGTCAGTTTAAATTCAACTCGCCAAAAAATCAAATGAATGAAAACACACAATAACACAGTGATTACCATTAATATTTGTGTATTTCAGGAACACATTATTTGTTGATTTGGCTATATACTTACACAAGTATTACACAGAAAATAAAAGAAAAAAACGTAACAAACAAGACATATTTGAACAGTTAAACTTGAATTATTCAAGAATCATGGGGTTATACTGACGCCCAGATAATAGACTGCCTTATAATCTGACATACTTCCCATTCAATCAATCTGTAAGACCAGTTTTCCTTTAGCACCTTTGGAATGGATTATATCATGATGAGCAGCAGTAACAGAGTCCAGAGTGTATTTCTTGTCAATGACTGGCTTCACCCAACCTTCCTCTGTTCCACGCAACACTTCTTGAGTTGTTGTGCTCCATTCGTCCTACATATTTTAATTTAATGTACAAATTATAAACAATATATTTCTAACAACACTTTTTTCAAAGTACTTCAAGAAACATACTTACCTCTGTAGAAGTAGCAAGAGCCACTCCAGTAACTGAAGTTTCTGGACCCATCATATCTCTAGGATTTATATTTACTGTACCTCGATTACCAATGATCTGTTAAATAAAAAACAATGTTAGATACAGTTTTATGTTAATGAGTAAGAATATAAGTGATTCTGAAGATCAAAACTAACAGAAAGTTATCAGTCAAAGAACTCAACATTCCAATCTGGGATGTACAAAATGAAACGTTTTACAATACATTCTGTAATTCTTTCCATCTCGTTATGGAAGATGAACCTTAAAACACACATCAGAATTACAACATGGACTGTAATGATGTGGTGAGCCTCCACAATTGTTTTAATATTATATACTTAGCTTCTGTATATACAACAAGACTGACAAATCATGTATCTTGACAACAGCCCTACATACATCAGAATTACAACATGGACTGTAATGATGTGGTGAGCCTCCACAATTGTTTTAATATTATATACTTAGCTTCTGTATGTCGTGCTATATATGACAAATCAGGGCTGTTGTCAAGATACATACAATTGTTTTAATATTATATACTTAGCTTCTGTATATGTGTGTGGAGTCTCACCACATCATTACAGTCCATGTTGTAATTCTGGTCTTGTTGTA